CAAAAAATCGAAGGAAACATTTGATACGTATACAAAAACATTAAACGTCGAAATTCAAACGTCGACGAGGAAAAATAAGTAAAATAAAAGACCCTAGTAGGTGCGAGTGAAGTTCGATCGATGATAACCTAGTAGTAGTACATCGGTATAGTAGCAGTATGATAGCAACAACAAAAACTCAAGCCCCAGCCATCCATAGCAGTGGGAACCACGCGTCGACATTTTTTACTGCAAGTCGCGATCCTGTTGCACGCTGCTGCTGCAGCAGCATACAGGCAGTGTAGTGGCAGCATAAAAAAATCAACGCTCAGCGCGCAGCTCGTATACCTATATAGTAGCCAGCCAGAGCGTTATATCTGCTAAACGATATATTTTTTTCCCACTGTCTCCCAGGAGAGAAATTATTTCGTCGGCAAAAAAAAGCAAAAAAAAAATGAATAACAGACGACACCCCCGTCACGGGTCGTGGAAGTGGAAAATAAATAGGTATATTCGTGTAGAGGGAGAGGGAGAGAGAGAGAGCTATATTTTCGCTGATATAATTTCAATTCGAAGCTCAAATCTGAATATAAGCTCTATTTGTCGCGCACGCGGTTTATATATCCCCGACTGCTCGCTCGCGCAGTAGCCGTTGATAATTTTCCTCTCTCTATCTCTTCTTTCACTTTTTCTCTTTATTTTAACGGCCCGTGAATGAAATTAATAGCTCGGCAGTATTATAGGATGGTCTGCGCAGCGCAGTTAGCCGCCGTATAAATTAATTACCAGACGCGTAAATGGATATATATAGATATATACGTAGCTTCATGTGCGCGCTACGCAGTTACCCTCGCGGTAATAATTGGCACAACGACGTATTAATTGGCGAATAATAATTTCGCCCGGCTCGGGCCCTGCGGCCACCACCACCGAGTAACCGAACGCCAAAAGTCAAGCTTACGATATTTCGAGCCTCTAACGAGAAACCAAAAAAAAAAAGGTGCAAATCAATCATCGCGATATTATTCGCGTTGACTAATTATATTTGATGATACACCACATATATTGCGGTTATATACAATATAATATATCCAAACGAGCTGTCATTTCTTATAAGCTGTAGCTATATCCGCAGCCGTGCAGCGGTATTATCGTAACTCAATGGTAAAATCAAACGCGCGCGTCATGTATTATAATAACGTATATATGCTCTAGCTTTTACAGTTCAGCAGCAGCAGCAGCAGCAGCAGCAGTAGCCACAACTAATTACTACATGCAAACGCGCATATTCCGCTGAATTCATTATCGCGATGCCCTTATGCATACACGCGTTTGTGTTGTAACAACACGTCGATTCGTCGGCGGCTCCGTATACATTATATTATGCGCGAGCTGTGTTTCCCGATATGCTGCCGCTGCCGCTATACGCGTTGTACCGCTGCAACGTTTCAATAATTACGAATCACTCTTTGGACGATGTACACGCGAAACGCTGCTGATATGTAATTGCACGAGCGAAGGTAATGTGTAGCAGCAGCAGCAGCAGCAGCAGCGACTCTGGAGTACATTCGTGTTCGCGAGCGGATAACAAAGATCCATTAAAACCTCCGGCCGAACGCCGCGCAGCTTTAATTGGGCATCTGTTTTTTGAGAGTTACGCTTTATGTAGGTGTACTATATGTATTGCAAGTACAGGATCGTTATCGTTATCGTTGTTATTACTTTCATTAGTGCGGAAAAATAGTATATATTTTTGTGTGTAAGATAAATGTTGTACTTTTCGCTCGAGGATATGTGCCTGTGTGTGTGTATGTTAACGCACGTATACACATACGTATATATATTCCAGCTGTTATTTTAGAAAAATTCGATCCTTTTTGTTCGTTTTACGCTGGCTTTTTCTAGCTAGTTTGCCTTTCCACCCACGCACGCGCGCGATGGATAGAGATAAAAAATTCCAGGACCACTTTCGACTAGCCGTGGTACGAGTTCGTCTACAGTCTGTTATACATAACGTATATATATGCGGATATTTTTAGAAGAGCTCTAGACGCAAAGAGCAACATTTTTATTTTCACTTTTCATTGGATTATTTTCGTTATTATTATTATGCACGCGAAGTCTCTCTCTCTCTCTCGTATATGCTAAGAGACAAGATAGATTACGCACTCGTTTGAATTATGCAATGTTTAAAAAATTTTACGTCGCGCGATGCTAAACTCTTCTTTTTTTCTTTACTTCCCGAGGTGCAGCGCAGTGTATTCCGTGCTTCTTCAACTTTTTCTTCTTTTTTTTTTTTATTCCAACCACGTTGACGTGTATATTTGCATACTCAACGAGCGGGTATACATCTGCTTTTCCGTCGTCGCCGAGCTTTCGTTATATAATACCGTTATATAAAAAAGTATCTCGATATACATTTTTCATTCGTAATTCGATATAAACATAAGTATCGTCTGTCTCTCGCTCCAGCAGATCATCTACTTGAAAAATATTGCGCGCCAAACATTTCAATTAACGAGGAAGAATTCGAAAAAAAAAATACCGGGTTTATTATCGTCGTCGAACTATACACGACATCGAAAACTTTCGCTGTTACACGCACATACTGCACTGATGGTCGAATCAGTGTGTATACACGCGCGCCGGACGTGAGTGAAATCGTTTCGCCCACGCGTTTGTGTGCGGAAGATTTTCGAGCTGTCGAGGTACATGAAAAAAAAAGAAAAAAAAACGCGGAACGAGTCTAAACGAATGTTTGACGTGAACCGGTCGAAAGAAATTAAATTGCAGCTCTGGATGAATGAGAGAAAAAAAAGTCTGCGCTGACAAGGGGGGGGGGGCGATTGAAAATTAACTTTTTGCCTTTTATATTCTCCTCCACCCTCTCTCTCTCTCTCTTATTCAAACGAAAGGAGAAACAAGGTCAAATATAAAACATGCGCCCGGACGGCCCTTGTATGCATTCCGGGCTTTTTCCGCAGGCCGGAAATATACGCATGAAATATGTAAACTCGCCTTATTTACAAGCTCGTTGCGCGCACGCGAGCATAGTTTATATTTCTCTACGCGTATACGAAACTTCGGAGCTAGAACCGACTGCTCCGCAAACCGGCGATGTTTTGATATGTGCACATGTGCGTGGGTGTGTGACTGACCCGCGTAATACCGTTGTTTTTTATTCTCTAAAAATATACCACTGTTGCTGGCGGATAGAATGAAAAAAATAACCGGGAGAAAAGTGCACATTAAACGCGTGCGTGTGTGTGCCGTACACTCGAGGCAAACGCATATATATATACGCGAGATTTGAAATACAACCTCGCGCTAGCTTGCTATACCGTTACTGCTAGCCTCCGCTCAAGACATTAGATTGAAAAGTATAAACATTACAACTCTTACGAGCGCCAGGGAATGGAAAATTTATGTCCGAGCGGCTGGGAGGTAGCGTATAAAATGCGCGTATACAGCCTCGCGCGAGGTAAAAGAGAGAGAAATACGCAATTTCCAGTATCTTTCACTTTACGTCGCGCGCGCTTGACGCTGTTTTGCGCTTTTCTTCTTGGCCGCGCGTATATATACACAAACAGTCAAACACAAGAGCAGCCGAGTGACTGTGTAAGCGGCTGCTGCTGTTGCTGCTGCTGCGACGAGGACGATGAAAAACAAGGCAGTATACACGAACACACGCATACGCATTCCCTTTGGCACACGAGAGAAGCAGCCCCACCACTGTATGTATGCATAGGTACGCGCGTCTAGCAAGGACTATTTTCTTTTCTTTTTGTCCTTCCTTACTCCTCTTCTGATATCCAAGCCGTCTATCGGTAATTAAGCTTTTAACGAAGGGACGATTTTTTTTTATATATTCAACGAACGAGTAAAATTGCGCGACGTTTAAAAGTAAAACTACTTTTAGCTACGAAAATTACTTTAAATACTTCTCGAAAATCGTTGCATCGCGCCGTTTGAACAAACAACTGCGCATTTTTATCGTCGTCGAACGGTGGGGCAGACGACGACGACGACGACGACGACGAAGAGATAAAAGACAGCTCGACTACTGCATATATACACGAGGAGCGAGAGAGAGGCGAGTTACTCGAAGCTCGAACGCGTCTGACTATTTGCATATCTTTACTACTGGAATTTCTGCTCTCTCTTATGCTGCTGCCGCTGCTAAAGTTTCAATGAAATTCTCCTCTTGCCTGCCGTGAGTGTATATAAACAGAGCCGAGGCAAAACGTGCGCAGCGTTTACCGGTTTTTGTTCGCACGATCCCTTCCCCTTCATTCCCTCCTCCTCTTCCTACAATATACTTCGCCTAATACATATTTCATGAATAATTTTCGGCGTCGTCGTGTTTTTTTTTCCCCATTTTGATCCCCCATGCATTCCGATGAAATTTCCGACAATGAGTCAAGTCACCTTTACCCTCTTTTACGCATCGTAAAACAAAATACCGAAGAACAATGGCTATAAATGTGGATGTAGGGGCGGAGAATTTATATATATACGCTCGAGCTCGTCGAACGCCGCGCGTGCACGCTAGTGCGTAGCAGTACATTTTAATATTCATCGAGCTGCTCAGCTCTCGTCGACGAAATATATTTTAATTAAAACGCGTAATATTAAAAAAAAAACGCCTTATTTTTTAGCCCCTCTCGCGAACTTTTAATTGTAACATTTTGACGCTTATATATCCGAAGCGAGCGCGTGCGAGAGCATCGTTCAAAAAACTAGGTCAACACCCGTACCTGTGTTCGGCGCTGCCCTCTCACTCTCTCTATTGTTTGAGCTTGATGATAAAAGGAACGAAGAGAAAAAAAAAAATTAAACGAGAGATTAAGTGCGCGGATTACACACGAGCCAAGTCGTGTTGTTGTTGTTGTGGAATTCATTGTGTATAGGACACGTGTAGTAGACACACACACACAACACACACACGCTGATGCTAGCTTTAAGACTCGTTTTATATACTCTTTAATTATTATTCTGTTTTCTTTTTTTCACGAGTGCAGCTAAAAGACCACCTGTGGAGGAGACAGCGAGCTTCTTGAAAGCGCTTCTGGCTAGTCACGGGCCTAATTACCTCGAGAAGCTCTTCGGCAACAAAGCCCGCGATGCCCTGGAACCGCTCGGCGGAGTGAACAAGGTCGCCATCGCCCTGTCCGGTAAACCAGTTTATATCATACACTTTCTCTCTCTCTCTCTCTCTCTCTCTCTCCTCTTCTTCTTTTGTGCACGATTCACGAGCGTCCGGACTAAAATCTCTCTCTGCTAATTGCTGTATGCATGTGTTTTGTTGCAGAGTCGCAAACGATCGAGGATTTCGGCGCGGCGCTGCACCTCATGCGCTCGGACCTCGAGCATCTGCGCTCGGTCTTCATGGCGGTGGAGAACGGCGACCTCGGACTGCTCAAGTCGCTCGGCATCAAGGACTCGGAGCTCGGCGACGTCAAGTTCTTCTTGGAGAAGCTCGTGCAGACCGGATTTCTCGACTAAGCGAGCACGACATTGTCGTTATCGCTGAACGAAGAGTCGAACAACAGCAACAGAAACATCAACAAAATCAACGATCTAAGAGAACGAGAAATTAGGAAATGGGTAGAAATTGTATAAGCGAGAGTGGAGGGGGGTCGAAAAGTTTTGGAGCTTATAAGTGTGCGTGTGTGTGTGTGCGTACGTGAAGTTTATCCGCTAAAATGGACAATTGATTATTGGTACGGGAATATAAGTAATAATACGCGAGAGACTGATCGCTCCAAATACCAAGAACAAACGCAAACATATCTAAGCTATTTTCTAAAAATAAAAAAACAAAGAAACTGAAATAGAGGAGATGATGATGATGAAGTTTAAAACGAAACAATGTCATTAAGCATTTACGAGTGATATGTCTATATTACGACACCAAAATGTCAAGGATCGTCAAAATATATATACATAAACGCAACGACGACGACGACGACAAAATGAAAGTCAATCGGATTTATCGCGATCGTTATTAAACTCCGAACTATTATTAGCCAGGGGCAGGGCCGCTAATTAATGCCAACGATTTTCTCGAGCAGCAGCAGCAGCAGCAGCAGCAGCAGTACTCGGAGGCGGGGGAGGCGTACACAGCGTACAAACTCTCCTCCTCCACCTCCAACGGCTGCCTCCGCTGCTGAAGCGAAAGCAAACTCTCTCTCTCTCTTTTGGTTCCCGCTACGTTATTATGCTACGCGTGATTAATACTATATGCGTGGGCTGCGTTGTTCGGCGTGGTTTGTGCATTATAATACACACACTACTTGTGTATGTGTGCAGTGTGTACGTGAATGCGAGTATCAAAGGAGAAACTTGTGCCACACTGCTCGATGAAGTTTGCGATACGTACATAAAATAAACTTTGATGCTGCGATCTGTGTAGCGAGAGAGAGAGAGAGAAGAGAAGAGAAGAGGCCCCGGTAAATAACGTCGCGAGAAAATCACGATATCCACGTATAAACACACAAACTCACACGTATCAATGGCACAAATCAATTTGCTATAACCGAATTTTTCTCCTTCTTAATAGACGTTTTTCCGAAAATCTTTTGATCTTTAATCGACACACATAAAAATCGTACCGGATAAAGCTACATAAGATGTTTTCCATTTTTAGATCGAGTATTAATAATATAACTAACATACATACATTGTAATGTCGGGAAAGTAGTTGTTTAATAACGCGTAATACGACTTAATTCATTAGAAGTAGACAAATCGATGGATAACATACATGCGAATTGTTTGCACAAATTTTGAGACAAAAATTCATCGTAGAAACTTAGCGTCCAGAGTGTAAAAAAAAAATTATTATTATTACAATGCCGCTTTTGACGACGACTGCAGAGGGTAATTTATCGTACCTTTTTTTTGTTCCTAATCCATACGTTTGAGTTTGCTCACACAGTTCGAGACACATACGCGCGTATACGTTTAGATTCGATTATCGAAGTATAAATTCGAAAGAAAAAACAAAAAAAAAATAGTGAGATTATACACACAGGATATATTTTATAATGCGAAAACTTTTTCCAAGAGAACGAAAAACGTGAAAAAAACGAAGAAGAAGAAGAAAAGAAAAAAGAACGAGTCAGTTTTTGTATATGAGCTTTTTGAAAATGGAAAAATCTTATACACGGCTTTCTTTGATTTTTGCTTTTTCGAAGAAGCTTACCAAGGTAAAAAAACAATCGTTTGACAATCAGTATTTTTTCGATCATTGAACGTGACAATCCCAATTATTCTTCCTGCTAATCGAGTCGAATTTACTTATACACACAATGTATAGTTTTAACTTTCCCGAATGATATTTAGATAAAATTTAAACGAATTAGTTTGTTGTATTGTTAGCAGCGCAGTATTTGCTGATGAAATTTTGCGTTTACGATGCTCACGTAAAGTCGTCGATTATATCTATAGGCAACCGTGAATAGAGTTACATAATTTAGAGCAACCGATCCAATTATTCAAAACATATCACAAACTACGATATATGAATAGAAATTAGTCAGGCGTAAAATATTGTATTTTTCGTTATTATATCGAGTTATAACATTGTAATAGAGAATAAATTCCTATATCACCGAGCTGAAAGTATAAATTGTTGATGATACGACACACACATACAAGATTTCGATGGTGTGTGGCTTGAAAATCGATGTCCTAACTGAGGATACTCTGAAAGTACTAAAAATGATACAAAACATATCAGAATTTTATTATATAATAAATATAACAATTAAGTATGTGCAAAAATAAAGACATATCATAATTATATACAATTAAAAAAGGTACCGATATTATACACGTGCATAAAATACAGTTTCAGGCTTTTGGAATTATATATAAATTATTAATATACATAAAAAAAAAATAGTCAATGAACGCACTGGTTTCCTTGTCAATCGCCATTGTGATGCAAAAATTCGAAAACCCAAAAGCGCGCTGCAAAGTAAAAAGCAGGTCGATAATCTCGATGCAGCGCTGGCTGAAAGTAAATAAAGTGGAGCGCGACGCGACACTCGTCGTTGTCGCGTTGTGCCGTCTTGATTGGAGAATTATTCTTTTGGCGGAGTTTTCGATTAGTTTTCCATCGAGCTTCTCTCCAGCGATACAATCGATATCGTCGGGTTCATGCTTCGTGTATACCGCGTGGCTGACGTGACCTCGATGACGACGCCGATGAATGCGGGTGATATATAAGGCAAAGCACAAAATAAAGGCGAATTCGACGGAGAAGCCTGCTGCGAGGTTCATTTTTTACTCGCAAAAACCATGTGAAAGTATAAAAACACACGCGCGCCGAAAACGGTCAGATTCTATATACAAATATATAAAAATAGCCTTTAGCCATATATCTCTGGATAATATTTTGCTATTAATAAAATATATACGAAAGTAAAAAAGATGAAAAAAAAGAAAAACGAAGCACGATGAAAAAAAAAAAAAGTTCGAGTGACTCGACTTTATCGATCTTCCATAATACGTCCCACCTATCGCTCTCGTTCGACTCGCTCTGTTTCTCTCTGCGAATGCACGCAGTACGCCCGAGACAACTCGGAAAAATATGAAAAGAAAAAAAAAAGAGCAAAAAGAAAAAACAAGACACGTTCCCGTCGTTGACTGCGCGAGAGAGACACGTCTGAGTGAACGTCAAAGCGGGGGTGGAGAAATGTTTTCGCTCGTCTCCCAAAGCGTCGCTGGTCGCAAAAGGACCTTTCAGGGAGTAAAAAAAAAAAGGAGGAAGAAGGAAGGCCTTGCGCGACCATGAAAAATTCAACTCGTTTCGCGAATCCGCCGACGACGTTCGGGGGTCTAATTCCGGGCCGATTTGCCGACTCGTCAGCTCGGCGTTCGTCCGTCGACGCAGTAGCGCGTAGCACGATATACCGTATATAATCGAATATAATATTAATCGATACTAGATGTAAGAATTTATGATTTGAAAAAAAGAAAAATGATGATATCCATGTATCCATGAAAAATCAAATGAACAATTTCCGTAAATTAAGTGAAAAGCCCCTAACATTAAGATCGCGACCGAGCCGTCGCCCAAATACGTAGTCGAAAAGTACTCATTATATATTGCGAGTACGAGTAGTGAAGCATTCCAAAAAATGAAAAAAAATCGCAAAACCGACAAAAAAGCACAAAATGAAAAACCGTAACTCGATTCGGAAGTCGCTACCGTAAGGCAACTGATTGACGGGTGCCGTAGCACGAAACATCCCAAATTAAGCTTTCAACGTCCGTCAAGAAATCGAACGAACTAAAGAAATCTTAGCACGTAAGAACGACATATGATACTCGATAAAATTTAATGGAAAACGTAGTTTGTAGGTCGATTTGCGCCGATGAAAATCGAGTTGTTCAACGATCGGTGATTCAGCCGGAAATTCGACCGAACGCTCGGTGGCTTCTCGCTGAACGATTCGTATTTGACGCTATGAACGAGCGAGCGAAGGGAAGATGTGCGATAAAGTAGGGTTACGCCAAAAAAAAAAAAAAAAATTTAAAGAAGCAAAGTACGTGTAGGTTTTAGATAAGTTAGTGGCGATTTTCACACACCTCTTATTCACCGATTCTATCCGAGCACCAAAAAAATATATGCAGCATAATAAATGTAACTTGAATTGACTGTTAAAGTTTTAGAGGTAAATACGAAACACGTTGTTCAACATCCGAGAAGAGATATTGTGATCCAGAAAATATTAACGAGATGTGTATTTTTAAATTTTATTGTTTCAAATAAATTATATATAATAGATGATATACAAATATAATAATGATAATATATTACGTCAGTTTTCGTATATATAGAGTATATTATATATTAGAAAAAGATGGAAAAAAAATTAAGCGTGATACATTCCAAAGCATCTATTCAATGAATCTCTTTCTTCAAATAAATCGCATCTTTTTACCGCGGTATGATAAATGATGAAAAAAAGCAATTCTTCTTTTAAACGCACGAACTGAAACTAAAAAAAAAATAATCATCAACTTCCGGAATAAGATGAGATTCATTTGTAAGTATACCGATTCGATATCGATGTGTAAAATGAAACAAAAGCAAAAGTAAATTTGCAACTATATCGACGTGCATTTGTGAAAGTGTTTTACAGAACTCATTGTTGTTATAAAATAGAAAAATTGCTAATAGAATATGACATATCAAGCGGTGAATCGCAATAAAGGCTAACATTAACGAGACTATTACGAAAAATTGGAATAATTGCGGTATCGTTTTGGAAAAATAGTCGTCCGCTACGAGGATGAAAATCGAATGCGTTATTTTGTATCTCGATGTTTGCTGAGTTTTTTTTAAACACACATTGTACATCTGCTAATTACGTTGTACTCGCAATCGAAAATTTATCAATCAATTATGTCGTTGCTTTTCCAGTACTGTATTTATTCTCTCTTTCTATTTTTAATTTTCATTGACATGCAAAAAGAGAACACTGAATGTAAAGTGATGAAATAAAGATTATTTACGTTGCCCACACGCGCATTCTTTATTCAAGCTGGATAGTCCGTAGAGTAAAATAATGAAAATAATAATGGCATCGAATGCAATTTGAAATCTCTAAATGTGATTGTAGAATGTAAGCGCTATATTTATTATTAAAATTCATTTTCTCATCTCTTCGTATTGTACTTGATGTAGCAAGTTCATTTATATCTTCTCCTTTTCCCAATACGATTTTTCCACGTGGCGGCAGTTTATTTATACACACGAACACCTTGAAGAAAATTAAAATCAACGCGTCAAAACTAACGCAGTTGCAATCAATTTATTTAGTAATTGAATTAGAACGACACTGGAGAAAAAATTCATCCTTCCATCGGTTTTCACCCGAGTAATCGTATGGTTGAAACGATACAGTAAAACACCACTTTGAGCGGTGAATTTCACTACCTAATGGAGTGATTGAAGCAGTGCAGCGGATACTAGTTAAGTGTGGAATCCAGTAAGTTCACGGCAGCCTTTTTTTGTTGGACGGATTTACCTAAATTTTTCTAACGTATTTTGAGCTTTAAACAATTTTTCAAACAAACGATTATGTAATAACAATAAAATGTAATTTTTTAAACGGAAATCATTTGTCACAACATTTTTTGGTCATATTGAACAAACAAGTAGTCTTGCAATTTTTTCGTAAACTAGGTAGTTTACAGGCATTAAAAAATTGTTACAATTAGAAGTTTATAAAATATTCTAATTTAAAAAAAAAGCTGCTTTGGAAATTTATTTACAAAAAAAAGTGTTAGCTGGACAGTTGAAGAATACCATCGATGCGATTATTAGCGACAAGCTTTATATTGAACCACTAGATGTCACGATCGATTCCAAAAGTGAAAAAGTAAAGTGTTGTACTTAATACAAGCAAGTGAAAAACCAACTGTTATCTACAAAATTGGAAGCGTAGTCTTATCAAAAGATTATATACAGTAATTTGAGATACAATTAATACAATGCTTACATCTATGACTCGACTTTACTTTACTCGGCTCAATGATGACTCTACACGGCGGGTGCGGGTATGGGTTCAAAGGAAGTTCACGAGAGATGGATTGATACACATATTATTACGCCTAGGTGTTTCCACCGTAAGGCTAAATTAGGGTATTTACAAGGTAATACAACAATAATCGAACGAAGACAGAAAAAGCGCAACTAAAGTAAAATACAAGCAGTAGAAGTATAGAGAGCAGCAATTGACAAAAAAGTTAGGATATATACAAAGAATTATACGTGTAAAGCAACAATAAAATAAAGTGAGATGTAAAATGTGAAATACAAAAGCAAAATTATAACAAGCGATGACAGCTGTAACAACCAGCAGATCAGACGCGATTCAAGAGAGAGAGGGAGAGAGAGAGAGAGAGAGAAACAGAGCTCAACTTGGCAGGTCGATGCTTGGAAATGACTTACTCGTCGGTGACTCGGGTTGAAGATTGGCGCAAATATACTTGGCGACCTGGACCCAACAAAAGCGGTAGCAAGTATTCGGCAGCGAAAGGACAGACCCTCGTTGTAGCTCAGGAGCTCACACACGCGTGTTCAAAAATGATGATACGGGGTATCGCAGGAGGAATTAATTCTCACGCTAGGGCTCACCGAGACAGAGGACCTCACGCTGATCAAGCACCGGCTATAGGAGTCCGAGGCGCTGAAAGCGTCATCTACTTTCTTCGCTACACCCTGGGGTATGTCGCGATGTCCTTCAGGGTGAAGGAAAAGATAGGGGAATATATCTCATCCACCGGACTCTGCTCTGACCGATGTGTCGCATAACACGTCACCGTGTTACAACTTCTACGTACTAGATATGTTAAATTATCATGCATTTCAAGATGGGAAAAGTGCTTCTGAAGTTGAGAACAATAATACCGTTCAAATCCATTACTGGCGAACTTAATCAATAACATTATTACTTCTTTACTCTTTACCTGCAAATCTCTCCCGCTGAATTGTTTGATAACTGCAGATCGTTTATAAGTAAAGATTTATCTTAAGTAATTGCTCATACTTAACTATACTTTTGAAGAAATTTTACTGGTCACGAGAGCAATATCCCAAAGGATTACTAATCTGAAGTAATTTGTTAAGAAATCTGAGTAACAATCTAACTCAACCGTAGCGCTCTTTTCTAGCATCAAGAAATTTTATTTCTAATTTTCGCTCTGTCGATTTAATATAAAGCTTAAGCTTCAATTCTTAATGTCCATTTCCTTCTTTAATGCAGGTTTAGTTAGTCTTAATTCTAAGTAAAAACAAGTATAAAATTGAATTTTGTTTAGAAGATATCGAGAGAGAAAGAGAAAGAATATCAACAAAAAATTACTTAAATCTCTGTATTTATTAATTCCATGGGCCAGTACTTTGTCCACTTGATTTCAGAAATTAATATGCTGCTTGCAAGCCGTAAAACATTATAGGCCTAATTCTAAGTTACTATAATTATCATTGAGCAACAAGAAAGCAAATCTCCACAAGGTTTAAGATCTCTACAATAGCGATAAATGAGTACAAAGGGTTCTGCAAACATATATGATACCATTATGCAGTAGACTCAAATCTTGGAGTCATCATTGAAAATATTATTATCAACGCAGTCCATTTTTCTTAAAAATTATCTTGATCTTCAGATTTAACGGGAAAAAATAAGTCGTATACTACTGGTCGTTTTTGTCGATCTCGATCAGCTATGGAAACCCTCCAGCAGCCAGACTAATTTGTTTTTAGTGATAGTTTGTTCTACTTGTTGTTCACTCTTCTTAGCCTTGAGTTCACTTGTTACAGCAAGACCGGTTTGTCATACTGCAGGCTTGGCTAAGTCTTATTAAAATTTTTAATTTTTAATTTTACTTTTACTTTCATTTTGTGTAAGGTCATTCTACTTCCTTGTGAAAAAACCCAACCGTGTGCAGTAATACTCTCGCTCACTCTAGCCTCTAGTCTCTACTTGCGAGCCCAAGCAGCAGCAGTAGCACTACAACACGAGGACATAGCAGTCACTCGAACAATTTTTCAGTGAACAATAGTTCTGATAATTGTTCACAAAATGTTCAAGTTTCGACTTTTGGTAGTCGTATTAAGTGGTAAGTACATTTAGATAATTATAAAGACAAATTTTGTATTATGGCTCACGTAGACTGTTAGAAATAAAATTTGACCGTCTAAATTTGAGATTTTTAAAACTGCATGTAATTTATTCTTCCATATGTTAAGGGAAGATTCGATGGAACATTCAAATATTCTACAGAAAAAAAGAGGCAAAGCATTGCTGTCGTTATGCAGGAAATTCAGCGTTATACTTAAAATCAAACAATCTCATTAACTACTTTAGCTCGCTAAAAGTTGTATGTGATGAGCAATATGAACATTTTTTCATTACCATGTTGATTTTTCATTTCAATTTAGCGTTATAAAATAACAAAAATATAACATTAATAATTTTACAGAAAGAATCAAAATCAAGCAAAAAATCATTTCGTTATGGATGAAAATGTTTTATTACTCATTATATGCAACTTCTGAGATGACTATGATGGAAACAAAATCGTTACGGCACTGAAATGCATGCATTACGACTGTGACATTCTGCTCTCTTTTTTGTCTCGTATATTTCAATGATCCGATCGAATGATTCCCTTAACATTCGGAAATGTAAATTATATGCATAATATATGATAGCCGCACATTTAGATGGCCGATTTAATTGGCAAACGCATTTGTAAGCCGAAATAAAAATGTACTCTTTTTAAAATCATCCAACAATTACGACTATTTTCTCAAACAAAAAAATTAAATCTTTCATTTATAGCAGCTGTTGCTTCAATAAGCGTCGAAGCTAAGCCAGCCTGTCACTGCCCTGTTTCACACGACTTGAGGCCCTTGTGTGCAAGTAATGGAGAATCTTACTCTAATGATGATGCGTTTGAGTGTGCTAAAAAATGTCATCGTATAAGTCATGGTAATGCGATTTTATACAATTAACAATTAAGTAAGCTTTTAAAAGGTGGAATCTTAAGGAACAAAATTTTATTTTTTTTTAGATGTTGTAAAAGTTCACGATTGGTATTGCCCGGCAAATGGGCAAACGCATTTCACGACTCATAGCCCAAAAAACCTCGGACCTCAGCCAATCCCTGATTCAAGGAACTGCGAATGTTTTCATTATCACATCTACGATCCTTTGTGTGCAAGTGATGGCAAATCTTACGCAAATGATGGGGAGCTTGAGTGTGACAAAAAATGTCATGGCACAAGTCATGGTAATGCGATTTTAAATAATTAATAATTAAGTAAGCTTTTAAAAGGTGGAATCTGAAGGGACGAAATTGTATTTTTTTTTAGATGTTGTAAAAGTTCACGATGGAAAATGCCTAGAAAATGAGAAAAAAGGGTCGGCATTAGGAGAAACGCAGTCGACGGACTGTTTCTGTCCAGTCACAGCAAATTACGCGCCTTTTTGTGCAAGTAATGGAGAATCTTACGTTAATGCAGGGTCGCTGGAGTGCGACAAAAAATGTCATCGTACAAGTCATGGTAATGCGATTTTAAATCATTAATAATTAAGTCAACTTTTAAAAGGTGGAATCTGAAGGGACGAAATTGTATTTTTTTTTTCAGATGTTGTAAAAGTTCACGATGGAAATTGCAAGGCTTTTGAACCTGAGATATACCCTAGTTACGAGAAGTGTCAGTGCGATCACGTATACGTCAACGATCCTCTGTGTGCAAGTGATGGGAAAACTTACGATAATGAAGGGGAGCTGCAGTGTCACAAAAAGTGTTACGATAAGAGGAACGGTAATGATCATTTTAAGCATATAATAATTGAGTCCACTTTTCATAACGAAGCGTATCGATTTCAGATATTTTTATAGTTCATCGCGGACGTTGTAATGTAAATCTTGATCCAGTGTACCCAGTGGAACCAGTTTACCCAGTTGAACCTTACCCAGTTGAACCTTACCCAGTTCAACCTTACCCAGTTCAACCTTACCCAATTCAACCAGACAAGTGCCAGTGCTCTCATGTATTTGTCAGCGACCCTGTGTGTGGAAGCAATGGAGAAACCTACGAAAATTCGTTGGAATTGGAGTGTGATAAAAAATGTCACAACAAGAATGGTGATGTTCATTTTAAACTAATAATAATTTAATCAACTTTTTATGACCAAGTGTTTTTTTTTTGTAGATCTTGTAGTAGCTTATCGTGGACGTTGCAATATGAGTAGCCCACCAGTATATCTACATAAATAAGAAATAATACCATTATTCTGAACAATAAAATGTGTTTAATATTTTTATTTATGATGCATAAATGACTTGAATGAAAATGAACCTGCAGTTTTTTTTCACATCACGCTTATACACAATTCAAATCAAGCTAGGCTCGGGACATTTTAAACAATCTTAATGGATAATATTACTAAAAGATATTTTGAAAAGTAGCGTTTCCTTCTCAATACTCTTAATTACTTTATTTCGCGCTAAATTATTTTGAATCATTCAAATGGCTTCCAAGTACAAATCTAACTTTGAGCCTCGAGTACATAATCAGATGAATTTAATTTTTCGCCACTTTTTTTACATGAAAATTTATACTTTTGATCAATATTATTCGTAACGCGCCTCGCGGCGTGAATAGAACTAGAGAATAAAAATTTGATCCACAAATATAATGATGAAAAGAAATCTTAATGGATTTTTTTAGATATTGACGCATTACTTTTTCCTGCCAAACATTTAGTAAAAGGGTAATTTCTGAGCGTGGAAGATGGATAGCCAGCTGCATCGGTAAGTCTGCCTAGACGGCCTTTGCGCTACACCTTTATGCACATGACGTCGAATTTTTCGTTGCAATTGGCTAAGGAAGGTAGAAGGACAAAGTTGAATAAACAGTGGTAGAGGGCTCGGAACTCTTCCACTCTACCGTTGCACAAATTAAAACTAAAAAAGCGAGATGTTACGATCGATTGGTCATACCATCTCTTCAGAATAGAATTTGGTAGTGAGCCTTCTAAAAATATCTTGAGGATAAATCACTTCTTTAACGTGTGAATATCTTGTTCAAAATAAAGTAATTTTTATAAATTATGTAAATCTATAAAACTCGATGGTCAACGCCGACGTCGCGTCTTCGAAACGAGCTGACACATTACGAATAAGAGAGTAAAAAAATGTTGTTAAACTAAAGATAAGAGCTGTCTGTTTCAATGATAAATTGAACACACATGATTTATGCTCTATTATAGCAATAAAAGTTCATTAATGTATAAAAATGAATTCATACGTTAAGCATTTTTAATCGATTATGATGATGAAGAATCTCGTTTTGGTTTTTCATTCCGTACACGTGATATTGCGCAATGAATGAATAATAATTTGATGAATGCGTTAAAAACAAGAGCTGAAGGATTGAAAGCAATATAAATCAAATAAAAAAAATAAATAAATAAAATGATCACAGGGGTGCATGAAAGATAAATTATGATATAATGTAGACTTGAATTGGGTGAGTTTTTACTCTGAGAGAGGAGGCTTGGTGCCTGCGTATTTATGCTGTATGAGAAGCAGTAATGCTTTCAAATTTTTTAACCAAGCACAAGTATCGTTTTTCCTAGTGTAAAAAAATGAAAAAAATTCGATGTCACAGAGAATCGTTCGCAAGTATGTACGATAAAAAATCTCAAACAGCTAGTTTTTGGTCGACATTATCAGAAGGACCAACGTTCCATACTTTGTCGGCCAGGTAGGTTGCGTGTATAATCAATCAGCCAGGCAAGGAAAGAGACAAGAAACAATCAATTAAGCTCAAAATAGATTTTATTAAACAAGTGCGAGTTTATTGCAGGATTTAGAAGCTCTGAAGCCTAACTCGGTGAGCATCTGTCCCTGACTCGTTGACTCCTCGTGCGTCCGAGCCGGAAACGACGAGTCGCAGCGTTTGCGCCAGTCACTGCGCGCATTTTGAGATGAGGAAGCTGGCTGACGACACAGTAGATATTGTAATGAGCAACGAATTACGCATTAGAGAACTTTTACCGAGAGCTAAAAATGTATCATATCGGTTCTTCCTTATCTCCAACGGGCTTCCCGACTTTACGTTACACGGCATTTCTAGTAGAATCGAATTCCGAGATCATCATTTGAACGATTATTAATTATTTCCCGTTCAACGCCACCCCGTTCAAGCGTAAAAACCACTAGTCGATTTCGTCGATCTCTATCGACCGTATAAACCTTCCAGCAGTTGGACTAATTAATTTTTATCCGAGTTCATTAAGCTATTTCTTCTTTCTTATTGACCTTGAGTTCGCTTGGTAGATAAACGTCCGTTGGCCGATAACTAACCGGACAGCTGATAGCAATACTCTCGCTTACCCGAGTCTATTTAGTCTGAACTTGCAAGCTCAAGCAGCACTACGACCCAAGGATCTACCAGTCGGTAGACATTTTTCCCAGTGTACAATAGTTCTGCTAACAGTTCACAAAATGTTCAAGTGTCTGCTTTTGATAGTCGTTTTAAGTAGTAAGTACTTAGTATCCGTAATTATAAAAAAGACAAAATTTGTGTTCAGGCATACACACACTAAAATTTGACCGTATATGCAGAATTTATATAAGAGCCTCAAGCGTAGACATATTTTGAATTCAACTGACAGTAGCACGTGTATGCCAGGACATAAAATGATCTTTTTTAGATAATCACCCAAAATTTTGGCAATTTACGAGGACAGAATATTAAATCTTTCATTTTATACAGCCCTTGCTTCAATAAATGTCGAAGCTAATCCAAGTTCTGGTTCAAAGAACTGTCCCTGCGTAATTCAGTTGACAACTTATAGGCCTTTGTGTGCAAGTAATGGAAAATCTTACGTAAATGACGAGGTGCTGGAATGTGACAAAAATTGCAGCAATAATGATGGTAGCGTAATTTTAAACAATTAATAATGAAGGAAGCTATTAAATTCGAAATCTTAAGGGAAAAAGTTATATTCTTTTTTTCAGACATTGTTAAAGTTCACGAAGGATATTGCGAGGATGACCCTCGTTCAAAGATCTGTAAGTGTGCTCGTCCTTTCATATACAGTCCTGTGTGTGGAAGCGACGGACACACCTACCCAAATTCGTGGGCACTAAACTGTGATAAGAAATGTTACAATAAAAATGGTAATGTAATTTTAAAAAATATTAATAATGAAGTAAGATTTTAAATGCGAAATCTTAAGGGAAAAAATTGTATTCTTTCTTTCAGATCTCGAAATAGTTCACGATGGACGCTGCGAGAAAAATTCCACACCCAAGCCAAAACCTGGTTCAAAGATCTGCCGGTGTAATGATCATCCTTACATAAAAGATCCTGTGTGTGGAAGTAATGGAAAAACCTACCCTAATTCGTGGGCATTGGGTTGTGATAAGAAATGTAACAATGAAAAAGGTAACCAAATTTTAACCAAACAATCATTAAGTCAGCTGTTTATAACGAAGCGTTTTCTTTTAGATCTTAGACCAATCCATCGCGGTCATTGCAATGAGAAACATCGATAAAGACATACATAAGAGATAATTCCGTTATTCTGTACGATAAAACATGTTCAAGATTTGTATCTATTGCGCATAAATGGCTTGTTAATGAAAATTAACATGTCGTTTTTTTCACATACCGTCTATACGAAATTGAAATAAAATTTGGCACAGTATTTTTAAATAATTATTTTCTTTTCTTTTTTTTTTGCTCCTTCTTGAGAAGACCTTTGTACTTACACAATACTTTCAATTACATTATTTTGTTATACTAATCACAAATATTATGCAAGACATAATATTTGAGTTTTCAGCACATTTTATTATATTATGTGTACCCTTAATTATTTGCAGCTTTTATTATTAAGTCATAAATATAAAATTCATCCGAATCATAAGAATCAAGTATATAAAATTTTGCAATTTTTCTGATTTATGTGAATTTTCTATGCCTTCTCATTTTTCGAATGACTTCCATAATGTCTCTTATGGTGAACTATTTAAACGATTTGGTGAATAGTTGTATTCTGGCTGTCGAAAGAACGTATTACAATAATGGCCCATTCGGTGGAGATGAACAAGTTTACTTTTGAACTTACATGTTTTTTCAACCCTTTTAAGAGGTCTTGACAACAAATTTGAATTTCTCATTACTTTCATTCTAAAATCATGATTCAAATATTTTTCCATAGTCAACATTACGGCCAGACGGGATCTCAACCCAAGGTCGGTTAATAAATTGTAAATAATAATAATAATAATAACATATACCCATAAGACCAAAATAATTAAATGAAAATCGAGTATATGGTTAGTTGAATTTTTTTTTAAATGTTAACTCTTTCGCCACTTTTATACAAAAAAGTGCATATCTTTGTTCACGATCATTAATGGCGCGATTCGCGGTGCAAATGTGCACTCGATCTTTGATCAGTCATTAGTTATAAAGGTTTTGAATATTCACGTATAAGTTTTTCTAATTTAAGATAGATGAATTTCCAACAAATTGCCATATGCATGAGGGGCATGTCTTCTTTCCGTTTCTCGACCTTTTGGCTAAGATAATAGTAATCTTAGTAATCAAGTAACTGGCACATATGCATTGTACTAATATCATAGAGTAAAAGTTAATCATTTGTATGCACTCCAAAATCAGAATTTCATTAAGTCCAGTCAAACTACCATACCTGTGCATATTATTTCTCGCCCTCTTCACTTTCAACCTTTAAACTTCGAAGCTGACCGCTAGGTGGCGCATCCTCAAAAATTCGCTCTCACAAGTGGTAATACATTTTTCAGTGTACTAGTAGGTTGACCATTCACTTTGAAGTGTGAATGGTTTTTAATGCTCGATTGAAATCTGCCGGTAGATGCTAGAGAGTGTACCTTAACCGTGCAAACGTAGCCGGCGATGGTGAAGTAGGCGATCGTCAGATCGTTTTCAGCTGCTAAATCTGAGTCTTGAAGTGATAGATCGAATACACTGAAGGATCGCTCCAAGGGTTCCATTAGTTGTTCCGAAGGTTGTTGGAGTGTGGAGTGTGGAAGTGGAGAAGGACCCTATAGGAGTGAAAAAAGTTAAATCGTCAACGCAGCTTCCAACGAAGCCAAGAGTTTCGTGTATACCCAAATTATCTCCGTGATGCAATTTGTAATTTGATAAATATCTGATAACCTTTTGATGTTGCGAACAGTTGCTTTTGTTCTAATTCAATGAGCTCTTGTAGCAATGGATCAAATACTGCAGATGCGCCAAATTCCTGTCTATCGTTTGCATTAAAAATTATTGTAAAAAATGTATTTTCAATTTTTAATGCAAACTCAGGTGGTAAACACAGAAAATTAAATTACCCGGCCCATAGTTTATCCAACCATTTTTTATTGTTTTAATTTTTCTCGAAAAAGTTTAAAAATATTACCCTGAACAAATTAAATGACTTAAATTTCCAGATTTATCTTTGTAGAGTTTTATCATATAATCTAACTTTTTTTGAGAAATTATCGGTCTTGAAAAGCTGCTTTACCGTTGCTTCAATTGATATATATTGTCCGCACACATTATCATTAACTACTACGCCTTCATTTTTGACTAATTTTCGTACTTCTACCTGACCTATGACGTATGGTTGAGGTGCGATGTAAAATCCATCTTTTCAAAATACTTGATTCTCTTATAGTTCGAGTCAAATTTTTCAAATGGTTATCATATTCAGCGAAGGGCTCATTGACGACTTCCCCTTGTTTCACTAACTTTTTTTCAAAAATTGTTAAGATGGATTCTCGTAAAGAATTCAACACAGTTTTTTTCCAATTTCCGGTTTCATCAACAATATTATCTATATTTTGTCGGATTAAATTCATATCGAACAATTCTTCCATGTATGCAGACAAAATTTTTCCAAATTTCCTAACTCCAATTGACTAAAATCGATCGATGCATTTGGATCTTCTATAACACTGGTTTTTATGTGTTCATTACCATATTTCACAAAAGATCTAAGTAAGCAACATTTTTGGGGTCTTTCGGGTATAGTGAATCATTGTTAGCGTATTTAATCATAAACCATAATAGAACGATTGTAATAATTAAAAATGAAAAATATCATGTTTTTATATATGCAGCATAAACAATTAGACCCATACCTTTTTAATAAAGCGAACCATTGTCATCGATCGTCGGAACCGTATGTTGAAGATTAAGCGGTAAAAGTTGAATTAATTGCATAATGGCTACGGAAGCTCAATTTATTCTACTTTCAGAAACAAGGATTTGAATTGTTCTCCCTTCAAATCATTAGATATTTTCACATTGAAGCGAATTCCTATGTATCTACTGAGCATCATGACAGCGCGACAATGCGGACTCGGTAGACAAAAATAAAGATCTACCGTCATATTTTTCTAATAACAAAAATATACGAAATCATATAAACACGCACAATGAAACAACTGCTGTAATATCGTAACATTGCAGTGTTGTGCATACCTGCGATGACCATGTGAAGCGCGCTTCTATACCTGTAATTGGACGCCCTTACGTGCTTGACCGGTGATGGTCGTCATGGCGACACCGGCAAACAATGGCCTATGTTTTGACCTCAAAAGTACGTATCATATTTGTCAGGCCTGCACACTTAAAATGCATAGCGAGCATAGCAACGCATAGCGACGGCGCTTGCCTCCACTGCTCTTCCACAATACGTCCATTTATACTTGTATCGACAAAATCATCTGGACAGTATGATTGCCTAACACTTCTTTGAGTGCGTGCCATCAAAAAATTGTGTAGACAAACACAGGCCGTTACGATATTCGTAACGTCATCTGGGCTAAAAGACCGACTAACCGACCCAAAATACATAAAAAATTTGAGTAATTCAATTAAAAAAATTCAAGTAAATTAATTTACAATATAAAAAAAATCAGCTGTATAAGAACAGCTGTAAGATGTGTAACGTCTTTATGAACATTAAAAATAAAATTGAACATCAAGGAGCAAAAATGAAGAAAAAACTGTAGATCGAAGTGGAATTTTAACCCATGATAGTTTATGTAATAAACTTGCGAAATAATGAGATTTAACATTTTGGCCATTTAACATTAATTAGATCTTATGAGAAGTGTCCTTTTTTAGTGTACTACGAGCTCAAATCACTTTACAAGTTAATGAAATTAATATTTGTTATAGGAAATCTTATTTGCTCTCGAATGATATAATTATAAATGGGTGTTTCCAGCCATTTTCAAAAGATATTAAGAATCCAACACATTTTCCCTATGTTTTTCCATGCTGACGCTGTGCGCTGCGTAGCGCATTAGCCTTGCGCATATAGCGTTTTAATACAGAACCACCTTGCATCGCTACAGCCTCCTTTAACAATTCAAGTAATTCGATCCAAAGTTCGAGTAATTAAATCAAAACAAAATTCGAGTAATTCTACTTAAAAATTCAAGTAAATCAATTCACAATAGAAAAAGATGTGTAACTTGGAAGTTAAATTTGATAGCTAACAATTCCAAAAATTTAATCTAACTCAAACAAAATGGTATTTGACGTTCTGGTGGTTTCATTTTCTAATATCTAAAGACAACAGAAACCGTAACGTCAAATACCTTTTCGTTTCAGCCTTGGTTCAATAGAGTGTCCCTGCATTTAGTTTGCCAATTACAGTCCTGTTTATACAAGTAATGGATAAACTTACATAAATTATTCGGTTCTGTTGTGTGAACAAAGATGTATCAAAAAGTATGGTAATGAGATGTTAAACTATTCATGAATAAGTAAGATTTTGACGATTAAATCGCATGGAAAAAAATGCTTTTTTCAGACATCTTGAAAGTTCTGTAATAGCGTCGTTGGACCTCTTTAACTTATGGCCTAGGTGATGCCCAATAACTACTAGCCTCTTAGATCACCTTTGAGTTATCTTGGTTAAACGTTTAGAGTTAAGCGTGCTAGAGGGTCGGCAGCGTGTGCATTCTTGACCTGCTTGAGGATTATCGGCTGGTACAAGCACACCTGACGGCAAAGAAGATAATTGTTTATGTTTACTACGTTGGGTGTTGTCAGTTGGTGAATGATATTATTGATGGGAACAACAATTATTCTGTGCATACAATATGAAATCGATGGCGACTGAATAAAATTGCTGTCGGAGGAAGCTACTATTCGGGGCATACTGCAATGAGCCGAAGGCACCTGAATATAATCACTGGTATGCACTGCAACTTTTTTGCACATACGACCGAAGTCGATAGCAGCTGAATAAAATTGCTGTTGGAGGAGACGACTATTCTGGGTATACGTCAATAAACCGGTAACGCCTGAATAAAATCATCGAAGGTGTATACAGTAACTATTCTGCGCATACGACAATATGTCGATAGCAGCTGAATAAAATTGCTGTCGGAGGAAGAGTGATTACTCTGGGCATACGGCAATAAACCGATGGCTCCTGAATAGAATCACGTAGGGATACAACAACTACTCTGCGCATACAACACTTATGTTGCTAGCAGCTGAATAAAATTGTTGTAGAAGGTAGAGTGATTACTCTGGGCATA